GATTTAATACCCCATGGGTATGACTCATACTGCCCAGATTCTACCAAATAGAACCTAAAGTGATCTACACAAGAAACATGATCTTTGTCCGAAGGACAAATGAAAAATTCTAAAAGATAAAGGATGCACAACTTTACCGCATCCTCATCGTTTACCCAGGATCTAGTGGTTACTATCTGTTTCAAATAAGACTTCTCCACTCTTAATTTGTTAGGAAAATAACTGCTCATTATTTTGCTAACATAAGTGAGAGTATAATCAAAATCAGTAACCTGGGTAACACATCTTAGACCAGTAATTAATGCAAACTCACGCAATCTAAAATTTAATGTTTCACCCTTTAATTGTACAGAAAAATATGATGCATTAGATTTGGTCAATTCATACTTCATCAGAAGATGAATGGCTTGGTTTTGCATGCATATGGTGGGAAGAGACAGTAAGTATCCAAAACACGTCTTTTTGAAAAGATTCAGCCCATTTGAGGATAGAAGCTCTTTAATCTGGCTAGGAATGCTAGGATCACACAAAGTGTGGAATCTAAGCACCCCATAATCAATATTATGTGGGGCAAAAAATTGTCCATTTGCACAAATAATAAATTAATTCACATTAATAAAATGCATAAAAAGGATAAATTCATCTACATTTTATCTACAACATAACTACAAATGATTACATAATATCTACAATTTAAAGCATTTTCTACAAAAAGGCAGCAACAAAAGATAACTACAATTCTGCTTCAAATAGTACAAGTTACCTAACAATATAACTACAAAAAAACTACAAAATATCTAAAACTATAAAGGCAGAACATCACAACTACAAATAATCTTCAAAATTAAGACAATTAATCTACACTTGTCTAAAACACGTATAACACAGATTTTACCATCCTAAACCAAACTAAAAAATTAGAAACGAAACTAATAAATGTTTACCTTCGCCAATGATTGGTTCCGAACAATTTTAGGGTATTTTTTTTTGAATGTTTCTTCATTTTTAGATTTTTCGAACCAGGAAACACCTTTGATTTCTTTCCTGTTCGAAGATTAGGGACCTCTTCTACAAAGTCGTCGTCTACAGAAATCTCTTTTCCTTTTCGTTTGACTTGTTTGACCGGTCTAG